ATCAAAGCCATTTGTAGGACATTGTTGTGCGTAAATTGGCTGCAACGTTCACCAACAAATAGTCACTACACTTTACAGCACTGAGATGTTTCAATGTTGATAAGACACTATATCAACGGCAAGAATTATTATTGACAGCAATTAAATGCTAAGAATTTGTTAAAAATATCAAATTAGATTCTTAAATTAGTTTTATCACAAGTGATGAAAGTTTCTCTCGCAAATCTCAAAAATAAGTATGTAAAATTAAAGAGGGGAATGTGCTCAGGGCTGTATTTGTTGTGCAGGGAGAATCATACCTCAGTTTGAGTCACTATCTTCCTGAGAAAAGAGGTAAGGCATGAAATCCGTTGAAATCCTTCTAAACGCTATACCGCAAATACCATTAGACTTTTTGCAAGCAAATGAGGCCATTTTGCAAACAATAACTATAATAATACGTGCATTTGACATAGCATGTTATCGTGTCTTCTGGACATCTCAAAGTGTTTCACAGAATATACTGTAAAGTGAATTGACTGTATGTTTTGTGGGCAAAAGGAGGTGAATGTTCAGTTAATTTGAAGGTTGTTGGTCCAGACAATGGGAGTAAATTCCCTTCTCTCTTTAAAGGGTGCTGAGATCTTTAATATGCATCTGAATAGGCAGATGGACGTCAGTGTAAAATAAGTGCGGCACCTCAAGAAAGTACAATGTTGCTCGACTGCTGTATTGGCATTTCAGCCTAGTTTATGAGATAGAAGTTGAACTTGAACCAGAAATCTTCTGACGCAAAAGGTAAGAGTGCTACCAACTGAGCCAAGCTGATATTTGAGAAGTTAACAATTCTTGCTTTGATGCAATATTCTTTGTTGCAAAATGTTTTTATCTTAAACCAGATAAGATGAGTAACACTGAAATATCAGCACATGCATCAGTAATCAGCAGTTGCAATGAATAGCTACTGTTCACCAAATGTACCTTAATATCTAGACTGCAAAGGCTGACGACATCATCGTCCTTCGCTCTTCGTTTTCTTTTCTGGTGGGGGGGGAAAAAATAATTTTTATATATTTGCTGGTAAATAGGTTTCAATGACACAACAAAGATGCTGACTAGTGTTAGATTTACCTGGAAAAAGTGACTGCGAAAGTTAAAGACACAATCTGATGCAATGTAATTTACACTACGCATTATGTAAAATGATAATCTCAAACAATTTATACCTTCAATGAATTATTAACATCACAGGTAAGACAGGGCATAGGAAATACAAATGACTGCATGGACTGCTCTAGATTTAATATAGAGTTTAGGTTATCAAAATCCTTCATCAACGTTTACATAATTCTATCCCAAATATAGTTCTATACCAGCTTTCAGATTATGCCTATCCCACACCTTGAAGAAAAAACAGAGAATGTAGGAGAACCACCAGGCAATACACATTGGAGTCTACAATGGGTCTACCAATGTGCCACATTCTGTGCAAAAAGGTTTAGTTATTTTTCTTTAAGAAGCACAATGCACTGTATGAAACTGTAAGAGCATCTACACAAATCCTGCATATAGCTATTTTACAGAGTGATCCTCGAGTCAATGCAGAGAAGAACAAACTGTTAAAGAAATGGGCAATAGCAAACAACTAAATAAACAAAGGCTTTTCAGTCAGAAGGGACTGTTGAGGTACACACTACGCTAGATAGGATTTGGTTTGCACAAAGACAATACTGGTCTGGAGAATAAACATTTAAGTTGTTTATCCTGTGCAGTCATGCAAACACTATGTGAGCTATTTAATACAAATCTAACGTATTTGTATTATCACTTTTAGTAGTTCTGTTGGTACTGTCCATTTACTGATCAGACACCATTTTGTACTTTACATAATACGAGTAGTCCAAACTACCTTTTATACAAGACAAGCCAAAATGTAGCTAAATGCCTGAAACCTCACTCGCCTTTGGTTGGTACAACTGCATATTGCACTTACACAGAGGCCTCTACAAAATTAAGTGCAATCTCAAACTGCTTTAGCTTTTATAATACTCTCTAGTTTGGATAAAATGAAAACTTAGTCCAACAGTAATATTCTACTGCGATATACGCATTTATATTCTGTATTAAAATACTAATCCCAAGGCAATTATGATGCTAGTTCCTTGCATAGAATAGTTCAGTTATGCTAATACTTTCAGCAACACAGAGCAGTTTGGAGGGGAGAGAAAGAGTCTCTTGTCTAATTAAAAACTAATAGCCTTTTGCAAAATGCTACTGCATGCATTAAAATAATTTCACATTGTTAAGTTTGTTGTGTTAATTCCAAATTAGTCAATTAGCATTAGGAACATATGCATGACAATACCTAATACATGTGTGTAGGCCCATAAATAAATCATTACACATCAGTCAGGATTCCTGCTCCTGATCACTATCCTGTTGGGAAATTTACAAACATGTGTGAATGTTAGATAAGGACAGAAATGCGCTGGACTATAGGGTCAGCACTTATCTGGGTCGTGCAGGCTGTCCCAAACTTTCTAAAATATAAAGTGGACATCCTTTTTAAAAATATACAAATGCAGTGTTCCACTTGTTTCTGTGGAGGAAATTATTAAATGTTCAATGAATTTTGATCAATGAACTAATTTAGAGTTTCCAAAAGGGTGGCAACGCCACTGAACTGTGATGCTTGCTCCTCATGTTTAAACAATATTATAAACTACTCTGCTATGGGAATGTGAGGCAAGTTGGGTGACGAATGGATATAATCTTAGAGGTAACATTCATATTTAGGGAAGGTATTTGGTAAGCAACAGAAGACGTGGTTATAAAGGTGCTGAGAGGGATGGAAACATACAATGGAAACTTAGTTTTAAGGTTAGTCAATATGGCCTATGTTGCCCTCATTTGTGAATTTGGGATTTTAATACTGTTACCCTCTGTTGAGGTGTCATTGTAGAACAGTGAGACTCCAGGCTTCATCTCTAGTAGATTAGAAGATGAGATCTGTGGAGATTAGGAGTTTTTTAAAAGAAACAAAGAGTTGTTTGGGAAACGTTTCTGCTGGTATTTTTCTGTACTAGCAAACTCAGGAGAGGGAACTTCATCCATTCACATGGAGAGTTACAGCTATGAACTATGGGACAGTACACAATGTGCCTCTTATCCTTGGTTTTACTTTGCAAGAAGAACAGCTCATCAGATATCTAATGACAATCCAGCGACTATCTTCCTTGGGACATTGGGGGGTGGAAAAATGGGGAACGAAGAGAAGCATGGCATTTAGGGCTCAGTCAGCATCAAATCAATCCTCCTACTGTCTTGGTAGTCCATGTCACAAGTTTCTCAATACTCCCAGACACTGGAAAGCACAGCCTGAATCACCAGCAGACCAGCCGATGGGAGGTTGGGATTGTTCCCACTTGGCTCTTTTTAATCCTAAAAGACAAAGCCCTAATGGGTAGGGTGACTGTACCTGGAGAAGCAATGGCCCTTTCCAACATTCTACTAAAGTAGTTGTGGGTTATTTAGAGTAGAGTATTGTTTGTTACTCAGATATTCTTTACATTCTAAAATAGAGACAATGCCTTTTTGTTGGATTCGAGTTGTGCTGCATTTTTCTGACCCAAAATATAATCAGATAAAACTTTATAACTGTAGGGGAAAGGACAACAAGCTATACTGCCTGCTTATCACAAATCACTTTTCTGCTCACTGCACATGATTCCCTCCTAAAAGTTCAAGTTATTGCCAAATTATATTATCTTATCAGCAAGCTGAATGATTGCAGTGTTCCAATATGATAGAGATGTGTTTATCTCATTCAAACTTCTGGCAAGCCCCAAGCTATTTTTTTCTACATTTGCAGGGATCTCACAGAAACTCAGGATATCAGGGTTATTTACATAAACTTCAGTACTAAACAATACAGCCAAAGGAAATGAAATGGAGGTAGCCAAAATAGTCTGAAATATGGAACACAGTGTTTTGTTTCATCCATCAAGAGTAAAATGCATCCTGTAGAACTGTTGTACAACTAGCCAGTTCAAACCACTTGTTGACTTACAATAATGGATCAAAATGGCAGGAAATCTTTTGATTATAGATTTGTGACATTAAAATTCTCTTCCAATCTTTGGTTTGAATTCACCTCCATTTTCCTCACCTGGATTTTTAACCTATACTGCCTTGAAGTGTTGCAAAACACCACCATTTTGTCTGTGTCTCTCACCACCCCACAATGATTAATTCATAATTGTTGTTAAAATGCACATTATTCTGAGCTATCTGCAGACCAGCAAGAAACATGGCAGAAAATAAATGGATTGATGCAAGTAGTTTAAACTATATATATCACAGATACCCTAGAAAATAAGAGAAAGGTTTTTAAATATGAATTTTAAAAGATAAAAGGGAGAGGATGAGTTGGAAGAATTTAGGAAGATAATCCTAGAGGGGCAAAGTGGCTGACAGCTCTAATGAAGTGAGAGTCACATCTGGTCAGAATTGGATGAACAAAGAGAATGGTTAAGGGAGGAAAAGTGGAAATTTTAATTTGCATATTCATTGCGAAATAACAGCACAAGCAGAAAAAGCAGTTAATCAGGTAAGCTTTAAATAAGTTTTGTAAAACAGCAGATTTTAATACCAACAAGGGAGCAGGCAATACACAATTTAGTTATGACTATGAGTAATGAACCAGAAATAGCTAGCAATCCAGTGGCGAGGGCACATATTGGGAACAATGATCATAATATGATCAAAATGAAAATCAGGCTATAGAAAAAGTAAGGTCATAGCTCAAGTTTTAAACTAGACTTCAATAAAGCCAACTTGGAAGAGATAAAGGAATTGACTAAAATAAACTGGTAAGAATTGTTAAATATAACAGTGACAAGCAGTGTAATCTATTCAGAGATAAATAGTGCATTATAAAACACGTGTACACTCTTGACAAGCATTGGTCGTACATCGATGTGAAGCAACCAGGATATGGAATGACAAAAGTCATGCATCACCTTTCATTTGGAGATATTCTCTACTTCCTTATACTTTTTATAGCTTTAAAGAAGATTCTGAAAGTCAAATACAATAATGTCATAATGGCAGCTTACTTGATTTTATAAGAACATAAGAAATGCTAGCTGAAAAAAAAACAAGGTCTATCTCGTTAGCCTTCCACCTTCCTGGCGGTCGCATGCACATATGTCCCAAACCACCTATGTACTATTTCCCATAACATTATTTCCTAAAAGAAAGCTATCTAATCTATGTTTGAAAGATTTCCTAAGAATGAAGTACAAGAAAGGAAATGTGCACTTCAAAACCAAAATTCTGACGTAGCAATTTACCTAATAAAGCAAACTGTGAAATCTACAAAATTCTAGATCAAATAGTTAATCCTAGCATTTGATATACATCATTGAGATGTATAAGATGGGCTGTGAATTGGTGTAACTGTGTTTTTTATGGGCTAACCTGGCAGCCGATTTACACACAACAATGGTTAACACAGAACAAACTTTATCAATGCTGGTAGAAGCAGCTCAAACCCACAACAATATAATGAACTTACCAAAGGAAAATCCCATGGTCCAGGGGTTAGAAACGTGAAGGAACTTCCACGTCGCAAAGTAGGTCTAAAGACAGAAAGTTGAGAGTCAAATACCTAATTTAGCCTCATCTAAATATTTGACAATGTGAGATGATCCCAATGGTCTTACAACAGTACAACAATAGCTGGAGGATATAAGCCAAACAAGAATGAAAAATGCAGAATTCAAAACACAAATCTAGGTCATTACAATTCACATTCTAAACTATGTTCTGGTACTCACCAGCTAATGAAACCCATATTGCGTTTTTGGCGTCCTCACTCTTAACTACTAAAAAAGCAATATGGCGAGTGACCTAAAGACACGTTAGCCTATGTACAATTTTTCAGACTGAGGGTGGTCTTTCTGAACTCAGTCCTCCATCTAGAGCGATAAGGAAATTGACATACAAGGATAGATTGACAGCACCACAAATTGGCAAGAAACATACCAATATTTAAAATTTAAAATTGGCATCATGACCGACTGTTCTCTTGTTCTTTGTACCAGAACTGCAGAAATCTATCAGTCCATTAATCTAGTTGTATCCACTAGTCTTCTTGTTAATTGAATTTAGAAAGATAGGTTACTACCTTTTAACATAAACAAGATTACATTTGTATAGCGCCTTTCACGTCGGGAGGACGTCCCAAGGCGCTGGTCAGTGTACAGCATTTCACACCCAAGCTGGGGTCAGGGGTGAAGAGGGGTGACCAATGGCATAGTCGAAGAGGAGGGTTTTGAGGCGGGACTTGAAGGAGGCTAAGGAGGGGTTGAGGTGGAGTGATTGGGAGATGGAGTTCCAGAGGTTGGGGGCAGAGTGGCTGAAGGCTCTCCCACCAATGGTGGGGTGGGTGGCGCGGGCTACGTAGAGCAGGCCAGACCGGCTGAGCGGAGGGAGCGGGCGGATTGGTAGGGGTTAGGAGGTCACAGAAATAGTGTGGGATGAGACCATTGAAGGCTTTGTACGTGAGGTCCAGGATTTTGAACTGGATCCTCTGAAGGATAGGGAGCCAATGGAGTCGGGCGAGAATGGAGGAGATGGGGTCACTGAGTTTGGTGCAGGAGAGGACACGGGTTACAGAGTTCTGGATTATCTGCACCTGTGGAGGGAGGAGTTGGGAAGGCCGACAAGCAGGGCGTTTGCATAGTCAAGCCTGGAGGTGATGAAGGCATCAACAAGAGTTTCAGTGGCCTGAGGGGTGAGGTAGTGGCGGAGTCGGGCGATGTTATAGAGGTGAGAGAAGGCAGAGCGGGTCATGGCTTGAATGTGGGGGAGAAAAGACAGTTGAGGGTCGAACAAGACACCGAGGTTCCTGACTGGTTTGGTGAGTTGAAGTGTGCAACCATGGAGGCTGATGCTGCCAGAGCCTGAGGTCCAGAGGCGCTGGTACGCGCCAATCAGGAGGGCCTCAGTCTTGTTCACATTCAACTGTAGGAAATTTGCCCTCATCCCGGACTTAATGTCCGACAGGACAGCAGCGGTCCTGGAGTTGAGGGTGGAGGCAGAAAGATAAAGTTGGGTGTCATCCGCACACATGTGGAAGTTGACCCCATGTCTGTGGATGATGTCACCAAGGGGGAACATATAGATATTAAAGAGGAGAGGGCCAAGGACAGAGCCCTGGGGGACCCAGACGTGACAGTGCGGGGGCTGGAGAAGAAACCGTTAGAGACAACAAAGTGGAGACGGTGAGAGAGATAGGAATCAAACCAGGCAAGGGCAGGTCCGCAAAGATTAAGTAAGGAGGAGAGGTGTATGAGGATGGAGTGGTCGACAGTGTCGAAGGCGGAAGAGAGGTCGAGGAGGACAAGGAGGCAGAGGGAGCCCTGATCACAGATGTTCAGAATGTCAGTGACTTTGACCAGGGCTGTTTCCGTACTGTGGGTAGCGCGGAAGCTGGATTGGAGGGGTTCAAACAGGGAATGGCGAGAGAGAAAGGAGCGGAGCTGGGACGCGACGACTCATTCCAGGACCTTGGAAAGGAATGGGAGGTTAGAGATGGGGCGGTAGCTGGAGAGTAGGGATGGGTCCAGGGAAGGTTTTTTTCAGGATGGGGGTGACGAAAGTTGTTTTTAGGGGGGTAAAGGGTTAAGGTCTAAAGATTTTATAATTTTCAAAAGCTGTTGGGGAGCATTGTCTTATAGCATTGAGAGAAAGGAAATTAAAAATCACAAACCAATGTTTTGAACTTAAAACACTAACTTTGAAGGGATCGACCAAAATAAAATGGGAAGAACTATTAGCTCTAACACTGGCAATCTATTCAAAAAGGTTAATCATGAAGTTTGATTAGCAAATAAATTTCATCATTTGGTACTGAAGACTAAAATATAACAAAAGAAATTTAGAACCCATCTTTATGATTATTAAAGTTTAGTCCAAGATATATTTGCAATTTTTAAAAAAATACAAAAACCATTGAGATTTTGATCAGCCAGGGAAATTACTGTGTTTGCTCACAGAAGCTAGCCACCACATTTGCAGTATATTCTGTTAAGTTCTTCAAGATGTCTCAACGGTGTGATAACGCACTATATCAAATGCAAGGGTTATTAATTTATTCTAATATGCGGAACTCTGGTTTAGATTTTCTTAAGCAGGATAATGGTTTCTGCATTGGCCACTAGAAAAACAAGTGCTCATAAAAGTAAAATAGGTTTACAAAAATAATCCCTGTTGGTCCAACAGCACATCAAGAATATATCATCTAAATAATCTGCCCTTAGCAGGTAACGGAGCTTGCTCAACAGTTACCAGAATCTAAGTGATCCTTCAGGACTCAATTTAGTCAGCAGAATATTGAAACTCATGAGAAACCCCTTATGGGTTTAATAATGTTGTATACTACAATATAGGGGCGCTCGGTGTTCGTATGCCCTCTCTAGTTCTGGATAAGTTGGTTGTAATCTTGTCTTGGAGTCAGAACCTTTTTTGGGGGGGGATTCAAAGTCCAGGTTCAGGTAGTTACTGCCAAAAAGGCAACAGAGGGAATGAGAAGAGAAAAGTGATAATAGGTGAGCTGAAGTTCGCCCTCCACCCCCCCCAATACATTCAAATATTTTCACATTCCATCATGGAATTACTGTTGTCACTATTTGAATCCTTTCTCAACTTTCAAAGAGAATGACACATGTCTGAGCAACACTTTACAACGCATCATTATTTCCCCTTAGATTCATTCTTGGTGTTCTACTTACAATACAATATTGCATTTGTGTAGCTCCTTTCATGTCGGGAGGATGTCCCAATCCACCCTAACATTACTTGTTATGACAACTGTCAAAAATCATAACACTTTGTCAGTTGCTTCTTCCTGATCCATCTTTGATGAGCACTATTTGCTATTTCTAGTACCAATAACTCAACACAAAAAGGATCGAGAAATGTCAGGTAAGTCCCACCTTGTCTCTCAATTACCCCTTTCGCGCAACATCCTGGTCTTCCACATACCATTTATGTTAGGTTCATATTCCAAGGTTCCCAGTTCAATTACCTCTGTACTGCTGTGGATCCGGTTCATTTCAGGTGAAATCCATAGCAATACAGAGGTATGTGTACATGAAGTATGAACAACTGTTCCCAAAGTCTCAAATGAGAATTGTTTTCTTGCTGTAGAATTTGCCCACTGTTTAGGGTAAGGTTAATACAGCAATGCTAGGCTAAGAGATCAGAAAACTGACAACCAGAAAAAAAGCATGTTGATGAGAGAATGAGCACTAGTCCCTGCTGTCTCTAAAGGCAAGGTGAAGATTCCCAATGGGATACAATATTGGCTGAAGTTTGTTATTGTGGATGTGGTGGTTGACAACCAACACAGGGTAAATGATGTCACAACATACATGGCATCATCAGGCATTTTATTCTAACAATAATGTCCCTCCCTATGCCGTTGGTGTCTGTCACATTTAGATGCCTGTGAGCAACTCACTTGCCACAGGTGGAAAATACTATTGGAAATTTATGGTGTAGTTTATTAGAGCAGTATTGATCCACAGTATCTTTTCTGTTGAATAATTTTAACTAGTTAACTATAGTAAGTGAGGAATCATTAAATGCAATCAAATTTTGTAAGAATTTTTTATCTACACAATGTAAATGTCAGCTGAAAATGTCCACACACCTTACAGTCAGGTCATTTAATGATTCCATGACTCAGAAAAACCTTGAGGAATATCTCATCCAAGGACAACCTGGAAAACAATCCCATTTGTTGAGGGTATTAAACCATAGGGATGCAATTATTTAGATCTGACTGATAAATGGTTACGTTACTTGCATCATCTCTCTCAGACCCCGCTACACTCGAGAGTGTACATTTTACTGAAGCACAATTTAATCTCGTCACAAACTGTCTTAAAGTAGAACAGCATTTTAAGTTTATAGAATATTTTATTAAAAAAATGTTTCACCTGTTTTACTTTTGATTAAAAATGAACAAGTTGCAAGAAGTGTGCCGTGCAAAGGACATGGTTCACCCTACTAACTGAACTGGGCTAACACCTGACATCTGACTTGTCAAAATATTTGGGAATCAGTACTGCATTTGAAACGGTCTGCTATTGCTGTCGATCTGACGTAGCATCAAATACCAACAATACTTACATTTGTTAGACTCCAGAGAAAAAAAAACCTTAAAAAAGTGAGTATTTCTCCCCCCACCCCATTATCCCGAGAACATCCACTGTCCCCTTGTTGAATGTTCAAGAAATTGGGGGAGGTGCAGATTGATGTAAAAGGTTGTTTGGTTATACTGCTGTTTTCTAGAATGTTTTCCACGGCCACCTGAGACTATCCAAACTAAATACCATAGAATTACAGACAGTTGCAGCAGAAGGAGAACATTTGGCTGCACTGGCTTTCGATCTTAATGGATATGAAAACAAATCAGTAATATTTGTCATTTATAACAACAGGAGAATATAACACGCTCTTAAGTATTGTATTTGTGTAAGCACGGCTTGTAGAGTGCGAGTTGGCTGAATTAGTTAATTTGATGGGCTCTAATTCAGCAAGAGTCTGGTGTCCTCTAGTGGTGCTGTAATATAACAATCGAGCCTCTCAACATTTTTTTTTGTTTCGTCATAAAAAGAGAAAACCACATCCTGTGATAAAGAGCTCCAGACCAGACTGAGTTCCACAAATCTATGGCAATTTCCCTTTTCCGGGGTCTTCCAGCGTATTGGACACAAGTTGACAATGCCAAGGCTTGGGGACTCCCTACACCAAAAAACACACTGCTTGCCATTCAGAGCGTTGCCTGGCAAACTTCCTGATGCGTGTTGTGCCCATCACTCCCCCTACCTGTTAGGACTTTAGCTTGCAGATTTACCAGGAGCCAAGGGGGAAGAATCCATGTTCCCAGTGAGCAGTCTGCTCCTGCATATCCTTCCGATGACCCAGGCGGGCTGGTCTGGCACCAGCCATCCCTTAGTGCACGGCAGGGCTTAGAAACCGGACTACTGGGACCATAACAGAGAGTTGATTTGATTCAAACATTTGGCTGTAATGCACTGCGTTTGAGGCACCTCAGCTTCAAGGAGACCCTGCTTACCGTGTGCCAACATCTTCTTCTTCAAGATGCTTGATGAGCAGTGTGCTGTGCCTAAATACACAAGACTATCACTACCATCATCTTCCCCACAGGGCAGACATACATGCCTAGCTATTGAGCGCTCTGAGACACAGCCCCGCGTGAAGAGCGCTATATAAATGCAAGTTGTTGCTGTTGAGCAGTGGTTCAACCAGTTGGAAGAGTGGAGCTTCAGCAGCAACTGCTTACTTCTCTTCATTTCAGGACAAATACCAAACTCAGGATATATGTTCAGATAGCCCCAATGTCTTCCAGCAACTGTCATTCCAAGCCTCCGAGTTTCTTCATCAGCTATTCAATTGGCAGTTGCCTCCGGCATGGTGGAAGGACCTTTATGAGACAACTTATACCATGCCAGCCACCTTGGTATTTTAGTGGTCAAGTCCAATGCTGTTCACCAGGTTAATCATCACCAACCACACATGTGAGGGGTCTTGGCAGAGACATGAAGTTGCCTCTGTCTGGAGGCAGATTAGTGACAGAGTGGGCCAGAACCCTTCCTATCTGGAACTTTTATTCTTAATAAAAAGTCTTAAGGCTATTTGTCACAGAAATTGCTCGCTTACCAATACTACATGGCACTTGATTTCTGCCCAAATTTGTAGGAATCGGATCCAAAAGGTTATTATGGCACCAAGAGATGCTGACTTTAGTTAAAGTATTTATTACTGAATATTAATGTTACTCGATTATTCTACATAATTACTCAATTCCAGGTACACTGTCTGCCACATAGCTCCACCTCAAGCTCACTGAAAATGCTGCTGAAAGACTCAATCAACCCTTTGGCATATCTATCTTAGACTTTTCCAATGCACTCATTCACTCCATGATCTCTCTGATCTCCTACCCTACTCTTCCGCCTGCCCGCTCAGCCAACTCGATTTGCTGCACATCCTCTACCCTCCCCACATCACCCATCAGTGGCAGAGGTTTCAGTTCCTACATCCCTAACCTTTGGAACTTCCTTCCGTCTCTCCTCCTTTCTTTCTCGAAGTACCTCCTCAAATTCTACCTCTTTGAATACGCTTATGGCCACCTCCCTCTCCCTTGCTCAAGGTCTAACCCTGTCCCTGTGAAGCACTCCAAGACATTAGCCTATGTGAAGGATGAATGCAAATTATTGCAAAATTTGCTGGCAAAACATCAACAAGTTAAAATAAAAAGAGGCAAACTTTAGAGCAATTAATAGAATTAAGTTATTTGGAGAGTAGGGGTTTATGAAAATTTCTTCTTCAGGAGTTTCTCTGTACTATGCATCTCCAATTGATAGGACGATATAGAGAACTGCTTGCTGTCAGACCACCTGTGCCAACATCCAAGAGAAACTAGGAGCTGACTTGTGATCACCATTATATGCACATAACAAAATTCTACAAAAAGCCATGAAGTGAATGACCGATTTATCTGGATGATTGTTGACCAGGATACATAGTAATTCAATTCTCTTTTCAAACAGTGTCACGGATTTTTAGCATCCATGTGAAATGCAGACGGAGGAGTCTTGTTTTGAATGTTTCATCCAAAGGACACCAGCACCAAGAATTCAGTGCGCCACCAGCAACACAATCAGTTCCGAGTCGCAAAGGGACTTCAACTACAGAACTTTCTGATCCAGAGGCAGAGTTCCAGAGTAATTGAAGGAAATTGTTAGTGCTCATTTAGCTTAAGAATGCCATAAAAATGTAGTGTTTGGGCATCTTTCGGTCTTCAGCTAAATTAATTTGATGAAGTATCGTATACCCTGCCGAAGATGGAGCTAAAGATGAGCATGAGATATCCTGTATTAAAAGTCACAAGATTATCTCATAGCAATAAAGGGGCTAATATTGTGTTTTATCAAAATATAGTAATCCTTGCGTTTCATTTAGCACTTTATGTCGTTGAAGCCTCTCAACCCTCTTCACAGAATTTTATTTTAAACTAAGAAGCACTCCTAGTCCAGTCCCAGACCCATAAAGCACTTTGAAGCTTCGCTTGACAGGAGCCATCTGTATATAAATGTAAAATCTTTCTTGTGATAAATCTCCCGTCCAAGTGTTTGAGGATGAAAAAGGTTTTTTTTCCCCAATGACACATTGGACGATAAATAAAATGCTTGTCCATGCAACGCAGTCTTCCCCCTTCCCCGCATTTATAACAATCCCTGCATTTGATATAGCGCCTTATCACATCACTGAGACCTCTCAAGGAGTTTCACAGAACATGTTGTAAAGTGGATTGACTGCATATTCTGTGAACAAAGCCACAAGATGCACCGAATAATGATAATCCTTGCGTACGATGGAGCGCTTTAATCGCATCGCCGAGCGGTCTGAAAGCTCTTGGCAGAATATGGTGATGATAAAGCCTTGCATTCGAGTAGGGCGCCTTATCCCGGCGTCCAAGACGGCGCAAAGCGCTCCAGCGGACATAGCGGGAAGTGAACGGACTGTACATTTTGCGCGGCGGGGGGCGTGGACGACCTTCGCACCGAGGCGGAGGACGAACTCGCGATGTCAATTACGCTTTATTTTGCACTTCAAAGGAACACATCCACACATCCCGCGAAGCGCTCCGAGGCGTCTCGAAGACGTGACAAGGCGCTGCGTCAAATACAAAGGGTTATCAGTGTTATTGTTATTATTAATTATCATTATTATCATCACTATTATCTGATGCTCTTGATCCAAGGTGGGGTGTGGGGGGGGGGGAAGGGGAGGGGGTTAGAGACAAGAGAGGAGAGGTTAATGACATTTTGCTGCTGCTGCTAAACCAGGCCTTGGGGTGGGTGGGTGTCAAGTGAAACCCGAGCCTTTCTTTCCAACCAACCAACCAACCAACCAGACCTCTCTCCCTCCCTCTCTCTCCCCCCCCTTCGCTGCCCGACTCGGGGCCTGGACTCACCGGCGGCTGCTGCTGTTGTTGTTGTTGCTGTCGTTCGGGTTCTCGGGAGTGTTGGGACAAGCGGAGGATTTCCTTCTCGGGGGCCTGCGGTTCTCCTTGGCCGGTGGTGGCGGCGGTGCTGACGGTTGGCTCATGGCGGCCCGCGGCATCTCTGATGGGAAGGGACGGGAGTCTCTCTCTCTCTCTATCGCGCGCGCGCGCTCTCTCTCTCACACGACACCAACCGCCAGACTCCGTTTGAATTCGCGGCCGCCGACCAATCAGCGCGCGCCGCGCGTTGCTAGGATACCGACTCCTCCCCCTCCTCCTCCTCCTCCCCCCCGCGCCGAGGCCCCGCCCCCCTTTCCATCATCATCGTCATCATCATCATAATAATAATGATAATAATAATAATGATAATAATAATAATGATAATGATAATGATAATGATAATGATAATGATAATAATGATAATGATAATAATGATAATAATAATGATAATGATAATAATGATAATAATAATAATAATGATAATAATGATAATAATGATAATGATAATGATAATAATGATAATAATAATGATAATGATAATAATGATAATAATGATAATGATAATAATGATAATAATAATGATAATAATGATAATGATAATAATGATAATAATGATAATAATAATAATAATAATGATGATAATAATAATGATAATAATAATGATAATAATGATAATAATGATAATAATGATAATAATAATAATAATAATAATAATGATAATAATAATGATAATAATGATAATAATAATGATAATGATAATGATAATAATAATAATAATGATAATAATAATGATAATAATAATAATAATGATAATAATAATGATAATAATAATAATAATACGAGGATTCATTAAAGTCATTATCACTGCAACTTATTTGCCAGTTCACCAGTTCGTGATCGCTGTGGCGTGCCACGTCAGGAGGACGTCTCGCGGGGGATCGGCTGCGCGGGAAGCGGAGTGGCTGGGCTGTTTGTGGATTTTTGTTAAAAAGAAAAATATATATATGTTAATATTATTATTAGCATTAGATATCCAATATTTTGCTATTCGATGTTGAATGGTTTAATGTTAAACACTTTAATATTCAATATTCGTGGAGTCCTGTAGCTCAGTGGTTAGAGCACTCGCTTTGCAAGTGAGAGACCTGAGTTCAATTCCAGGCAGAGGGCGAAACCTTGGGCAAGTTTCCTTACTCCACACGCCTAATAATAATCCCTCCAAAAACCAAAACAATAATAAATTGGTCATTTTCAATCTACGACTGTTTGTGGGACATTGCTGTGCGCAATTGGCTGCCGCGTTCGCCCACAAAATATACAGTCAATTCACTTTACAGTATATTCTGTGAAGCGCTTTGGGACGTCCTCCCGACGTGAAAAGCGCTATATCAAATGCAAGGATTATTATTATTATAATATTAAACTCTTTAATATTGAATAGTTGAATATTGAATATATTTAGGTTACAGATACACATTAAAATATATATTTTTTAAAAAAATCTACAAATAGCACAGTCGCTTCCACAGTAAATATATTTAATATTAACTGTTTAATGTTACAAGTATTTTAATGTTACAAATATATTAAAAATATTAGTAGTACACACAGTGTTTTCATACTCTCGGTATGTTTGAATCACAACCAGTTTTGGGTGTGGTTCGCACCGCAAGTGTTTTTTAGTCGGCCTTGTGTGTGATAAAACGGTTTGGGGCGGGAGCCTAATTTTCAAATTTTAAATTTAAACCCGCCAAACATGTCCCATCCTCCCCGCCACACCCCCCCCACCTTTGAAGATGTTTTCGTATCCTAACCTAAATCAGCCACTCTGTCACCCGTTGTAGGTCAAGCGTAATATTGGGCAACTCTTGGGCTCGTAGACTTTGGGCTACAAACGTATTTTTAATTTCTGGCAACCCTGCCCCCGAACGTGAAGCCTGAATCCATTGGAGTGAGTGCACCACCACCAAGGTTTGCTAACGCTCCCAAGAGGGGAGCTCGAGAGAAACTATAATAATAATCCTTGCATTTGATATAGAAACTATCTCTTGATTAGGAATATAAATATAAATTGTTAGCATTCTAAGTGCCACTGATTTAATATAACGCAGCATTAGCCCAAAGGATAAATGGGCGTGGTGAGAAGACATTGTTTTATGCATACACACACGCACAGGGGTGATAGAATCATAGAAATTTACAGCAAACAAGGAGGTCATTCGGTCCATCAGGTCCGCACCTGATCTCAGAGTAAGGCGTCCGTTCAATCACACTGTCCCGCCCTCGCCCCACACCTCTTATTCTTCCATGTACATGTCCGAAACACTGACTGTCCAGCACCTTGGGACGTCCTCCCGGCGTGAAAAGCGTTATACAAATGTAATGTTGTTGTTGTTGGCGTCGTCGTCCCATTCCTTCTTGAAACTCGCAATGGATTCCGCCTCCAGCACCTTACTTGTCAGGACATTCCACGTCCCAAGAATTCTCTGTGCTGCAGTAAAAAAAAATAGACTGTCTTAGTACGTGGAAAGAGAGGATTTTGTCTTGCAAAACAAATGTAAAAATTGGTGAATACGATGGTTTCCTTTTGTAACATTTGAAAAGCTGACGTGTAAAAGTGGTGGAGGAGGCGGAGGCAGGCGAATAGGACTAAATGCTTAGTTCTTTCAGATAGATGGGTTAAATAGACTCCTGGGCAGCAAATTTCTATAGTTCTATGTCTCTAATGGGAGTACAGGAAATAGGAAATAAAGTCGTTACTAGGAGCAAACAATGATAATACAATGGGATGAAAGATCTTCAACTAAGTTTTGTGTTTCTATGGTTCTATGCCATATACTATAGTATATACTTGTTTGTTAGAATATCGCTGAGACATACACCTCCTCTGTCTCATTTCCATTAAGTCAGACATTACAAGCTTTTACTTTCCAATTTGAGGGAGTAAAATTGGCCAAATTAGTGCTTCGCAGATAATACAGAAATTAACTTCACCACAATTATTGTTGACCTCCTCCAACACAATCGCCAGTCTCCTTTTCACAGTGCCTCCATATCAGTAACCATTTTTAAATAGTGAGTCACACAAATTAAAATATCAATTGCAATAATTAGGAAATATTACCAGAATAAATACACAGCAATTAAAATAATGCTTGCATTGGATAATGCCTTATCGAGTTGAAATGTCTCAAGGTGCTTCACACAATGAGTTTCACTAAAGGATAGTGACTGTTATTATATACAATATAAAAACATGGCACGAATAATGTTTTATTAATAATCAATCCGGTGACTGCTCAAGAGGCTCAGCCAAGTGAACTAATAAAGTTTTCTCTGTGCATCAGAAAAGTCATATCTTTCTCAAAGCTTCTTCCTTCCCTCGGGTGTGGGCTATTAGCAAGTGCTTGTGCTTGACCTGCTTTTAAACATTCAATGCTAAATTCTTGACAACTGAGATTAGAGATACAGGTTTTTCTTAAGACCTCTGGCTATTTAGCATTGGTAATTGATAAGGTCAGATCCCAGACATCACTGATGGCCTCTTCCGCATATTATATAATTACAGATAGGATGCACATTTTTACATAATTCAAAGATACGGATTTAGCGACTGTAGTGATACTGCAGCAAAAGTTAGATATTTACACCTAAACAAAACATGAATCCCAGATGAGAACATCTATATCTATCAGCACCTGAAAAGAAAGACAATCAGCACATTGAGCAACCACATTTTCCCTCTACTTTGTTGGGTCAGTTTGGCTCATGAAGAATCTTGGGTGACTTGTCCTTGATATAAGAATACTTGATTGTCGTGCGTAATGTGGACAGGAGACACTCTGTAAATACAATACTAATAATCCTAGCACTTGATAGCGCGCCTTATTACATTACGTCAAAGCCCTTCACAAGATTTGCTATAAACTATAGCGTCCGTGTATTCGTAGGTGAATATTGCAACCAATTCCCACACAGCAAAGTACAAGGTACAGCCATGAAGTGAATTATCAATTTTACTTGGGGATTGTTGGCCAGGGCACTAGGAAAAACTCCCTTTTCTTTTAAGATAGCGTCATGGGATCTTTATGGTCCACCTGAACAGGCAAACGGAACTTGGTTTAATGCGTTGATCTGAAGGATTGATATGTTGTCACCTCTGACGAAAGAGCAGAGCTCCCCAGTACTGCCCTGTCATCCTGGACTATGAACGCAAAAGTTCCAAAGTCATCATAATCTTCTGTCTAAACTGAGCCGGACTGACAAAAGCAAGGAACAAAGAACAGGATTTGCTTTGGAGTTGCCGTATTGTTTCGCGCAAATGAATAAAACTCAAGAGTTGCAAAGGTTCCAACTGCGGAAAAGTCAGAAAGGTGTCGGTACGAAACAAACACAGAATTTTGAAGATACTTCAAAGAGGCCGCACCCGTGTGCACAATGAAACTGCAGTCAAGTTGAGGTACCGAAGCTTCTTCCACAAGCACTCGGTCAGAAGCGCTCGCCTCGCAAGCGAGACACCTGGGTTCAATTCCAGGCAGAGGGCGAAACCTTGGGCAAGTTTCCTTACTCCACACAGAGCCTAATAATAATCCCTCCAAAAAGCAAAAACAATAATAAATTGGTCATTTTCAATCCGCGACTGTTTGTGGGGGCGCTGCTGTGCGCAATTGGCTGCCGCGTTTCGCCCACAAATATACGGTCAATTCACTTTACGGTCTGTTCTGCAAAGCGCTTTGAGACATCGAGAAGACATGAAAAGCGCTATATCAAATGCAAGGATTCTTCTTATTATTATTATTTCAAAAGATATTGCAAATCTCCTGTTATAATTATCACCAGTAGTAGTCAATGCCAGATATTGCAGTTGAAGCCAAACTTTAATGATCTATTTTGGCTGTCTTTTGAGTTTTGGAGTTACGCAAAGACTTCATAGAGGCTGGAAGACTTTTCTTTACAAAGGCAACTTCTTGGTACAATAGATATTTTCTTGATTTGTTCAGCACTCAGAAGCCTTACGTTACATAAATTACTTTTGCAGTTATTCATCTTTTACTCTTCCAGAATGAATGGCAATAATACCAAATTATTGAACAAGTTTAGAGAATTATGTCCTTTTAAGATTTGTAACAATTTATTGATCGCATCACCCCAAATTTCATATTCAA